ATTCCCACCATACACCACGAGAGCGAAACGATACATGGGCATCATGGAGGTGATCAAGTGGCAGGAATCCGGAAGCAAGAAATCGAGATTCCAGGTTCTGGCAGCAAGGTTTCCGAGCATCAAGAACCCGAACGACACGAGGGCAGCCAGGGAGGAAATGACCAAGGCTGGCGTGGATCGGGACGACATCGACAGGATGTTCAACAGATGCGATGGATGGTACAGACCTTGGTGCATCCGAGTCACAACCGGTCACAGTGATTTTGGATTCATGAGCTCATCCGCACTGGCGAATAGGTATTCCGCAAGAATGGGTGATTCTCTCGGAGGAGCATACCATGTGACGTATGTGGAAAACCTGCCAAGCATCGTACGCTGTGGGTTAGTCCCCGGCGGAATCGATGGCGGCAACAGGCTAGCACTGCACTTCGGGGCGTTTGCTCCATGGGATGAGATGAACGTGGCGACGAAGACAACGCTACGGAACGTGAGGAGAGGGGATCCGATTGCGATCATATATATTCCCAGTGCAACCCTCGCGCGGTATGGGGCTGGAGTCGCGGCTAATGGGACTTTCATGGTCTTTGACGTGATCCCGTTCTATGAGGTCAAGTCCATTTGGATTGGCAAAAGCAACGGAGGGAAGCGCCTGGAGTACGCTGACATCAAGAGGGCGTACTCGAAGTGTGTGGAGAACGAGATCTGCCCTGGCTTTGTCAACTCTTCCCAAGAGTCGGCTGCGATGTTCCTCCAGAACGTCGCAAAGATCAGCGAGAGGATGCCGGAGACTGAGACAGGTGCCGATAATCTGCACTACATCGTTGACATGGTTAATCGTGCTTGCGAACTCTATCGAAACAACAAGATGGAAGAGTTCAACGCACAGGTCAACGAGGTCCGGGACGAAGTCAGCAAAGTCGTCATCCTGAATGATGAGACATGGGAAGGACTGAGGTGCCGGATATGTCCATCATGTGCGACCGCGATCCCCACCTGCTTCTGCTTATGCCTGGAGTGCGAGGCACAACTGATCTCCATCGGAAGATACTACATCCACATCAACTCCGATGACGAGGAGGACAACCAAAACCCCAACGTCTCTGGAGATGCCAGGCGTGCGCAGGAAGAAGCTAACCACGATGCGGCAGCACAGGAGGATGAGGACGAAGCGGAGGAAGTTCCGGGAGAAGATGACGACATGGACACGCAAGGATATACATCTGGCTATGCGTCAGAAGAAGAAGACGGCGGTTGGCATTACCGCGACACCGATCTGACGTCACGGGACATTATAAGTTCCCAACGGATGGCGATCTGCCTTGACGAGCCGCGTGAGGCTCAGTACATGGCAGGATTTATCGCACTCCAGCTGTCCAAGATGTGGGGGATGTTTGAAGGTGGTGAGGAGAGAACGATGAATGCCGGACTCGAAGGGAATCCGGGCTGCCCTTATCACAATGATTTCAGGAGGTACCCCAACATCACTGAGCACAATCAGGAAGGTATACTTTTGCCATCAACAATAACGAAGATTTCTCAATCGGAGAATGTTCGGACAAGAGCCTTCCGATCGGTTGAGGAGCGTGACGAATATATTCGTATGATGGTGAACAAATGCGAGGGACTATACACATTCTACAAGCTGTGGATTGCAGCGAGAATCCTCGATGTCACCAAGGAAGAAATGAAGCTCCTGGTCAAGGACCGAGTGCACCCGGTGGGTGATATTATTTTCAGATGTTTTGCACTAGCTTTCAACTGTAAGTATATATCATTCGTGAGGGATGGCCTGAACCTTGGCAAACATGGTTACACGGTCAACGTGAGCGCCATCATCTCGGCCGTCGACCCGAACAAATGCGACACACCACTGCTGGATTGGTGCCTTCGGAAAGGGCACTGGTTGCCAGAGGACTACAACAAGAAGTGTGTCCGGGCACGAGAAGCCCAGAAGAACTTGGACGAGGAGTTCCGCCGACGTACCCATAGGCTGTCCATTGGGGACATGTATGCTTCGTGAAGATGATGATTGCGGTACGATGTGGGCCAGTCCCCATCTGTTACTTGCGTCACATCGACACTGTTTCGGTGGAACGACTTATGTCATGATTTATATTCATGTGTCCAAGATGAATGGATGTGTACATGGTTACATATTCCGACGACTATGACGCTCTGGATATTCATGGATGGAATTATTACCTTATAGATGATATCTTTTCATTATTTATGCATTGTCCATGGTATCTGGAATGGCTACGATTTGCATTGATTACTCACCGATGTTTCTTTGCCGGAGATATGCAGACCGATCACAAGCGGGCGCGCATGGTGGACATTTGTGGCCAACCCATTTATGGATGACAGCTGCGCGATGCGCAAATGCGGCAGCTGGAATGTTCACTGGCGGTCAAGTGAAGTGGCCACAGTGTATTATATACACCTGCATATGGATGTGTGCTTCGATTGGAGGATGAATGTTTCACTTTTCGTACAATCGAACCCGGCATGTTTCACAGCGAATGAACGGTGTAGTGATAGCAAGTAAAAGAATGCACGACACGATTTCGTAGTTGAAGCCGTGGCCAGTGGAACGTTTTGTGGTGTTTGGACCGCATGATGAACAATGCGACCCAAATGGGGGATGATAAAACCCTCTAGGCCCCGTGCCGAAATTGGGTAGCTGTTCTGAGGTCCTTGTTGGTGTTGCTTCCCAAGTTCCATTGATCGCCATTTGGCTCAAGGCTCAAGGCTCAAGACACAATTGAGGTTCAAGATCTGATGTGTGACTGCAGACCTACGTGATCGGCATTAAGAGCAAAACAACTGCTTGCGCCGCTTTGTCAGGACCACTGGTGTAATTATCATTCCTTCTTCCTTACAACGTTTACACGGGTTCGGCTATAACGGCATCGTCCGTAAACACCTTTCTACGTGGTTGGTATTAAAGCTTGAGGGTTCGGTGCACAGCGTCCCACGGGACGTCACCTTGCCGTCTCTTGACAAGTATGTATTTATGTAATATGTAGGTAATAGGATGGGATGTATGTATGTAATGGTATGTATGTATGTATGTATGTATGTATGTATGTATGTATGTATGTATGTAATGTATGTATGTATGTATGTATGTATGTATGTATGTATGTATGTATTAATGTAATGTATGTATGTATGTATGTATGTATGTATGTATGTATGTATGTATGTACGTAATGTATGTATGTATGTATGTATGTATGTATGTATGTATGTATGTATGTAAATGTATGTATGTATGTATGTATGTATGTATGTATGTATGTATGTATGTATGTATGTATGTATGTATGTATGTATGTATGTATGTAATGTATGTAATGTATGTATGTATGTATGTATGTCATGTAATGTAATGTAATGTAATGTAATGTAATGTAATGTAATGTAATGTAATGTAATTAATGTAATTAATGTATGTATGTATGTATGTATGTATGTATGTATGTATTTATGTATGTATGGTAAATGTTGGGAGAAAGCAAATAAGTATTAGGTAAGGTAGGTAAGTTAGGTATGTATGTATGTAATGCATGTAATGCATGTAGTATTATTATGCATTCATGTAAGTCGTATCATGCATGCATTCCATGCCATGCCATTTAATGTATTTCCCGCAAAAAAAACACGGTATGTATGTATTTCCCGCAAAAAACACGGTTTTTCCAGCGTTTTCGCAAAGAGGACGTCCAAAAACATTGAGTTTTTCCAGATTTTCGGCAAAAGGATGTAGGAAGCCCAAGCCAACAAAAAAGCCGGCAGGGGGAATCGAGCCTGGGACCCCTGTTTTGCGACACCGGCTCCCCGAAGACTACGTTTAGTGGAACGTCATCAAATTGCCGCGCGGTACGTGGGGGACCCCCCCCCCCCCCCCAAAACCCTACGTAATAGACGTCGGGCGGGGGGGGGTTAGGGGGGGGGTTATCCTCTATCCTCTAGTTAGTATCCGACACGCCGAGCAATGTCGGCGGATTTTTCGGAAGAAAACCTTGCAATGTTGTGCGGGCCACAGCTGCGAATTTTGCGCTACTTTCACACTGAACATTTGCGATGTTCAAGCCGGAGCTTCGAAAGCATACTTCGCGCACCCCATTCGTACTGCCGGAGCTGCGCCAGCGCTTCGTGCGTAAAGTTTGCTGCTATTCGAAGCTTGCCCAGACGGGCGATTCGAGCCCGAAGCCCGAGGCCACACATCGCGAAACAAACTTTCGACCTCGGCCACGTCGAGCCGCGTGAATCGCGCACCGCAAAAGGTAACAAAAGCTCGAGTTTTTGCACGCGGCCCTCTGCCAATCCACGCCCGGGACCGCAAAGTAGCTTCGAAGGCAACCAAAGTTGAGGTTTGCTCCGCTGGACGAGCATTTGTGTTGGTCCCGTTTGAGGACGCACCGGTTTGACAATTTATCAAGTCTCCTTATGTGGGGAGGATGGCAGCCCTGTTGTTTGCAACGTTCTGCAATTGATGCTCTTGCAATGTTTAGGAACATGTCTGCATGGATGATGTCGCACCCCCTTCATGTATCGTTCTCTTCAGAAAACGCCCATTTTACGAGCGTGTTTGCATATTTGTTCTGACGAAGATGAGGATCTCTGAGGAGAACGGAAAGGGCCGGAACATTGATTGCCGTACATGCGGATTTGCGCGAAAACCGCATGCATGGGCGCTGAATTGCCCGACCATTCCGTGATTGCCTCGGGAAGCCCCACATTTACTCATGACTCGGAGCGCGGGTTGTGGTGGAGGCAGATGCAAGTCCATCGCAAACTGGTTTGTCTCCATCTCGGCATCACCCTCAAAACAGGCGGTTTCCCTGTGGTTCCTCCGAAAAGGGTATCACTAACTCCACACAGACACTGTGTGCTTTTCGTTTGAGAAAACAAGCCTTGCTCCCTTTCCAGTGGCCTGAAAAGCCACTGGCCTTTGACTGGCTTGCGTACTGCCGCACGGGGCCGTCGCCTCAGGAAGGGCGTGGATGTGGCGGATGTGTTGGCCTTTATGGCCACCCTGAGCCCTGAAGAGCGAAGCTCGGCAGAGACCTTTCCAGCGGGGCATGGTTTTCTCCCTGTTCTCTTTTTATGATTTTCGGCGGGGCTTTCAAGGACCAAAAGACTTGGGAGGTCAGGGAGACAGTCGGAAACGCCCGGTGGAACTTTGTCTCCGATCTGAATCTGAGATGGACACTGGGTGGAGAGGCGGCTGTGTGTTGTTGCTGTCCAACTCATATAAATCGGTCGATGTGTCGAAGCTGGACAATTTACAGCAACTAGTTTTGCGGAACCAATGAACACTTCCATATAGGGATCCTCAACACACTTTGTTGGTGCCTGGCAGGGAATGAGGGGTCATTCCCCGAATCATGCCTAGTCTTCTGTGGCAGTTCCCAGCCGTCTCATTGTTTTTTTTGGGTTCAGTGGGGGGTTTCCATTGACTCCCCAAAGTTTGACCTTTTAGCAAGGAATCTGAAGGGCAGCCCATTGTCGTGGGATCCGCATGCCCAAAACCCTTGACATTCCCAACGGAGAGAAGATTCAAGTCTTAGCCCAGGCCTCGCTGCGGTGCGTGAGGGCAACAGCCGCTCGGCTTGGAGAACGCGGAACCAGCCCTTGAGCGGATAGGTTGTTCGTCTTTTGCACCCCGCCCCTGAAAGGATCATCTCCACATAAACGATCATCATCATCATCATCATCATCATCATTATCATCATCATCATCATCATCATCATCATCATCATCATCATCATCAGAAAGGATCATCGTGAGCACTTTGGAGCCCGAAAACGGTTGGCCCTGCCGCCTCCCCCCGTATTGGTTTCAACCCCCCTTTTGAAGGCGCGGAGGCCACGAATTCCGTTCGCCAAGTTTAACATCGTGCAGCGAGTTTTTGTTCGGTGGATATTCTTTTCTTGGTGGCTCCCCTTAGGTTTTTTTTAGTGTTTCCATGGGCTCCCCCCCTCCCGCCTCCCTTTTCTAGTCCCACGAGGCAACGGCAAGACGCCTCTGCACTACGCTGCGCAGCTGCGGCCCAAAGGGGCCGAGCTGTGCCGGGCGCTGCTTGAGGCGTCCGCTGAGGCGGAGCGGCGGAGCGGCGAATTCAACCCATGCGCTTGGGCCGTGTTTGCCCACAACTCTGTGCTCCTTCAAGTGATTTTAGCTTTCTTTTTGTTTTGTTTTTCCTTTCTTTTGATTTGTGGGGGGGGGGGGGGTTCTCAAATGAGTTTTGGGGGACCTGGGAAAACCCACCAAAGTGAACTTGTCGCTGAGTGCAACTACAGTTAGGGTTTAGGGTTTTCAGATCCGCCAACGAAGGGTCGAAACCCTTCAGAAACAGCCCATGGCTGGAGAAGTATTCCATGTGCCAGTTGATCAGTGGATTGGGTTCCTTGCTAAACATGGACCCACCATGTTTGTGCAAGTAGGAACTGAACCAAAGCGTGTTTTCCTGCTGAACTGCAAACAGTTGTGCGGATCTGGCTATGATCTTTGTTTCTTGCCGAGGCCCGGACACAAATCGGGACCCACCCAGCAAAGACTCCCCGACTAGGACTCCATTTGTGTGTCGTTTTCCGGGTGACCCCTTTGGGTTGTGAAGGGAAGCCGAAGCGAATCCAGGGAGGTTCGATCCGGAGACGATGCGTGGCCACATGGGGCGGGCTACAAGGGATGTCTGTTTAACCGGAAAGTTGGGGATGGCTACTTCTCTAGGTTTCCCAGTTCTGCCCCTTTTACCGTTTCTTTTTTGGGGGAGGGTTCCCCGACTAGAATAGACCACAGAAAAAATCGGGCACCTTTTTTTTCTAACCTCTCTACACTTCATGTCCAGTACTAATGGGTGTGTTCAAGGGAATCGCGAGGGTGCAAAGCCAGCTTTGCAATGCATGGTCAATGAGAAGATTACCCTCCCAGCCACAATGGAGCAGGCTTTCTTTTTCGAAAAAGATGTGCATAGCTCCGTGAACTCGCGTTGCACTCTTGGGACACGCCTGACAGTATGTCTGCTTCGGTGCTTTTTCATATCACAGCAGTGGGGGCTTGTTTGCGAAGCCCTGTGCCTCTTTGCGCGCTGCTGCGTCAGAATTTGCAGCGGCGCGCTGAACACAAACTGGGAGGTAAGCTGGACTGATCTATTGCGCAAACGGGGTTTGTATACTTTCATGTTGGGAGGGAGGGTATCTCCGTTGAACCACCACACCCTGGATTTTGCTACACGGTCCATACGGCACTTTCCCTGGACTGGATAACGCCAACTTTTTGGTGGGATGTTCTGTTGGAAAAATAAACAACATTTTTGGAAAAGCTTTTTTGGAAAGACCTCCAGTTTGTTGTTTCGGTCAAAAACCCGCCCAACAAGTAGGGCACACTTCCCCGCCCCACCCCCCCCCCCCCCTGGAGGTTTGGGGAACCCAGGAAGTGAGTTGAGAACCACCGTAGAGAACGGCGGAGTTTTTGGTTGGAAGGACTGGGGAATCAAGACCTATGGAGTTGTCTGGGGCAATTTTCACGCCGGAGTCATTTTATGTTCAGCCTGAGTTGACTTTCGGAGAGCGGCTCGGATCAATCCCGAACAAGTCGGATGGTTCGATTTGTTCCAACTTAGAGAACCAGCCAGTTGAAGCATATGTCCGAACCATTCCAACTTCTTCTCTAATTCTCTAGTGTTGATCATGTTGACGCCCTCATTCTCTAGTGTTCAACCACTGTGATACTGTTGACCCGAGTTTGATCAGCCCTACCACTCAGCAGGTTCCTTGTTTGGTCCACAGTTGGGCGAAAGTACATGGACACATTTGTTTCATGTCCCTTTACTTGCTGGTGCGATAGGCAGGGAATGAGAAATGGAATGAGCCCGAGATAAACCATCCCTTGCTGGTGGTTTCCTTGAAGGGGACCCAAGCCTAGGTTTATTCCATTTCTCATTCCCTACCTATCGCACCAGCAAGCTTACCCCCCAAATGACTTTCAGCAGATGGGAAAAGTCACTCATGGTCATTTTGGGGCAAGGAGTATTGATCAACCCCCATGTCCCTCTACTCCCAACAAGCTGCCGGAGGCTTCCTTCCGGCACCCGGGTCCCAACTGCGTTATGGACAGGCATGTGTTGGAGGGGGAAAAATGCAGTTTGGGGTGCTCATAGTGTGTATGTATATACACATATGTGTGTGTGTGTATCCCTAGATATCTGTTTTAGCTGGTGTTTTTGGACATTTTGGCGACACTTTTGCGCCTGGTCGATCGCTTAAAGCTCATTGCAGGTGGACGCCACGACGCGGCGGGGCCACACACCGCTACTCTTCGCCGCGGGTCGGGGCCACGGCGAGGCGATGTGGGGGGCCCATTGGGGGGGGTTGAGTTGGGGTTGAGGTTGGGGAGGGGTGACTTATATGAAGTATTAAACGGGTTCAATCTGTTCTGTACACATTTTTAACATTTTTAGTGCCAATTCATTGTGTGTTGAACATGTTTTTACTGTTTTCTGACCTAAAAACATATTATCTATTGGGAATTTAATAACAGACACAAGAGAGGTTGTGGGAGCAAAAGGGTCTCCTCCAAATTGATTTTTGAGAGTCTACTTGGTATGGAGAGTCAGACAATATGATTTTCTGTGTGCCCCAGATGTGGGCCAAGGGAGGACCACACAAGAGTTGGGGGGGAATTACTCCAGGTCCTAGGACTTATCTTGCGAGACCGAAAGAGTTTGGTTTACAAAGTCTTAAAACTTGAGCAAGTGGTTTGCCCAACACCCAGATGGTTTCCACTCCCCTCAAAGCACTACTCCCATGGGAAACCGTAGCTACTGCATGAAGGGCATAAATGCCCGCGCGTTCCCCTGGGGCTCACTCCTCATGCCAACTTTTCGAGAGTTACTTCACCATCCAACTTCTCGTGCCATGGAAGCAACCGGGCAATCTGTAAGCCCAGTCAACCTGGAAGTCTGAGGGGCAACTTTGAGGGATATAGGGGACCGGCTCTTCACACACAATCTAGGGAGTTCCGTTGACAGGGTAATCGCATACTTAGTATTGACCTGTGGCTCATATAGTCCCAGCCAATAAATCAAACTTGTATTAAAGGGAAACAAGCACCCAATTAAGACGTCTTGTGTTTTTTTTTTCAAGCATACAACTCACTTTATAGCCACTACATACGTCTTTCATTAAACAAAACCCCAAGAGGTCGTTTTTACACCGAACAGCTGCCCCAAACCTGGTCTTGAAGTTCTGCACCCATGCCTCCTCCAGCAATTCCACCTTGTTTGGGGGCACCTCCCAGACAGTCCCTTCGACTTTCTACTAGGTCCCCCAGCTAGGTGCCAACTTTTACCTTTTTTTGCGGAGGGTTCAAACCTACTAAAATAGACTTCAGGAAAAAGTTGGTACTTCTAACCGCTCTACTGGAGGACCTCGTCTAGGTAAGACCGCAGGACTTCGGGGGCCCTTGTGAGGTGGCCCAGAACCGGCAGCTTTCTGTGAGCTTTGGTTTTGTCTAGGAAGGTCAACAGGCTCAGGTTTGGGTCGGTCCTCCATGAACATAAATGGACCATGGACTCCAAAACGGGGAGGGGTTGCCTCCTTGGTTTTCCTTCAAATACAAAGAGATGGATTCCCACTTTCATGACATGTGAGTGTGGTTGTGGTGGTTTTCCCCTGTTTTTGTCCAAACAAGAGGTAGACCTGGTCGACTTTTCAGGCCAGGTTTGAACCCCCAAACGGCCCCTTGAAAAGGAAGCACGGAGGGTGTTTCGGTGATACGCGCAAGGGGCTTGGCCCAAGCCCGAGATGGATATTTGTGATCCACACTCATTTGTTGGGTGTGGCTCAAAGTTAAACCGGAGGGGTTACACAGGTTTTGGCCCACGTTTCCACTTACCCGGGCTCCATTTTGGTACCGGTTTTTTGACCCACAGCCATTTGGGCAAGCGAGGGGCGCATTTTCGGAGGTGGTCCGCTTCTTGCTGAGTGCTGGCGCCAACTGCCGCATCGTCGCTGCTTCGGGGGAGGCGCCCTGGAACGCCTGCTCCCCGCATTTGGACGAGGCGCTTTTGGAAAACACAGGGAGCAGGTCGGTCTTGTCAGTTTCTTTTTCTTTCTTTTTTGCGGGGGCGGGGGGGGGGGGGTTGAGGGTGTTCGAATTAGTTGGGGCTTGTTGGGGTTTGCTTTGGTTGGTGCCTTCATGGTTTGTGAGATGTGTGTTGCTTGTGTCGCTGTTCGGCTTTGTTGGGGATCGTTTGGGTGTGTCTGGGGAGGTGTGTTGGGGTTTGCAAGGGTTGAACTCGGGTTGCTTGGTGTTGCTTGGCACCTGCTTTGCTTTTACTGTTTGCTTTGGTGAGTGGGTTGCTTGCACGGGCATTTCTGTGTTTGGTTGTCTTCCGTGTTTGCATTGGGTGTTCGTAGAGATGTGTGTAGTGACCGACAGCACGAGTGTACCTGCTGGAACCCATAATTGTTGACTTTCGGCTTCTTGGATTAAGATATATTCCAGAAAATCCCCATCTCAGTCTTTATTGATTCATAGAATATCATATGAATAGGCCATCCACAAAATCCCCATCAATTGGGGTTCCATATTTTCATCCTTATTCATAAACCCAATCTCCCCTTCCCTAATCTCCCCTTCCCTCTATGCAGGCAGCGGCCCCGGGGTCCGAAGATCAAAGAACGTTTTGACAGACACCCAAACCACAAGAGATGAAACCGATCATATCTTTGGTGCATTTTGCTTGGATGTTAGGACTTTAACTTTTGTCAACTAATGGGTTTTCCATCAAACCACTAGAAGTTAAACTTTTAGCAGGGGAGCAGAAAGCACCCGAGAATAGTGGGTCTTCTTTTCAGGCTTGGAACGGTGGCGTGTGGTTTGCTGTGCATTTTCGCAGATATAAATCGGGCCCGGGCCCGCGTTCTTCTTTTTTTTCTTCTTCGCGGTGAGCGCGGGAGACGAGGGCTTTGTTGGCCGCCGCGGAGCAGATGGAGGCGCGCGAGCCGGTGGACTTTCGCACCATGGAGGACGGCGACACGCGTCGAAGCTCCGTGGGGACCCGAAAGCGGAGCCCCGGATGTCCGGATCTCTGGGCTGCTAAGATGGGAACGCCTAAAAGGGGATCCTTCGTTGGGTTCCGTGGCAATCACCCTGGACCAAGGGGATGTTTCCAGTCAGTCACTTTTTTGGTGAGAGACTGGACCTGCTCTGTTCTATGAGAGAGTCGGGCGAAGTCAGTTCACACGACCAACCTGCGGACGCAGGGAAACCAAACGGAGTTGGTATTCAAACAGTTCGAAATGATTGGAAGCTGAGGAGAGGTTTCTGGAAGGCGACGTAGCTATTGGTGATGGTCGAAATCCATTTTGCACCACCGTTCAGAAACCTATGGTTGAAGCCATTGTTATTGTTGGTATTTCGAGGGGAATCATGAGACACCTGGGTTTCTGAACGGTGGTGCGTACATCCACAGTATGTGCACTTCCATGGGACAGAAGGTTGGCCCTTTTTTTAACCCCCCAAAATAAATTGGATCCATCGAAGTGGATCCAAGTCGGGCGGGCACCTGCCCCCTTGTTGCGCAGGTTTCTAAGCGGCCGAATACTCAACGCCTGTCTCGCTTGGTTTCCACCGGGAGCGCTCGGAGCGCCTTTTGCCAGGACGCCCGGGCTGCCCAGCTGGAATACGAGCAGGCGAGCTTGGCCTGCCGAGCCAGGCGGGTGGAAGAGGAGGACGCCTGGGATCCCGTTGGACACGTGTTGTGTGTTTTTGGTTTACGAAAGCTGGGCCATCGTCTCAAAATGGGGGAAAACCCCAGTGGTTTTGTGTCGGTTTGAAATGATGTTACATGTTGTTGTGCACTAAAATTATGGGGACTGGGCCTTCCCCTCCCCTAGTGTTCCTCGCAACGAAGTCTGCACAAATTTGAGCGAGCTGGGGGTACAATGAGCTCACCGATCATTTCTGTTTAGGGATTCCCAACATCAGGTTGGCGAATAACTGAGGCGGTTACGTAACCTTCCCTTTGCTTAAGAATATGTTTGTTATTATTATTTTCCCTTGTTGGTTTTACAGTGGATTTATCACTACTGGAAATATGTTCTCATTTTGTTCAGAGGACTTAAGCAAATGGAAGTAACAATTCTCTTGGCAAATTCCTTGGTCGCGAGGAGCCGGACGGCGAGGTGGCTTTGGCCCGCAGCATTGTCAGCGCGCTCGACGACGAAGGCTCTGAAGAGGCGGCGCCGGGGTAGGGCGGCAGACCTCCAGTTGGACGCTGTCAAAAGCAGGATCCATCCGGCACCCAATTCGCGGCAACATGTTTCCACCGCCCTTTCCAGGGGGTAGGTAAACAGCTGAAGGCCAGAGGGTTCATCTAGGTTCAGGAATGCAACCATCTCTGGGGAGTTGTTTTTTCTTCTTGGATTCGTGTTGGTTTGGGGCTGGCGGGTTTTGGATTGGCTGAAGGGGCTTGGTTTCGGGCTGGTTTCAGGTTGGCTTCTAGATGCCATACCAAGAGGAACATTTATATGCTTTTAGACCCGGTATGTAGGTCGGTCGGTACCCCCTGTTCAAAAGGAAGCTAATTCTTATCAATGGGGTACATTTCTTAGGGGGAAGGGTTGTAAGCGGAGAGCCCAGGAGTTAAATCAACGTCAACGCCTGCCCTACGATTCCACTGGGTTGTATCTAGCCAGGAAGCCCTATGAAGCTATTGCTTGGAAGGTTTATGAAAAATCACAAGGGGACAGGACAACTATCGAATGGGTCGATATTAATCACAGGGCGGTCTCGACGAAAAAAGCAGTTTCCATCTATCAAAAGGTGTTACATAATGATATAATTATCCACAAGTTGTAATTTTGAGAATTTCAGAAAGCCCTCACTTTAATAGACCCGCCAAACGGACAACGAGAGTCCCCGCCCTTTTTTGAAGGTTTTTGGCAAACCTTGGCAATCCATAATTCTTCCCTTAGGGTGCCCTCAGAGGGTTCAGCATGACGGAAAGGCGGATCCTGCCCATCCAAAAAAGGATTCGTCCATGTAAGAAACGAAGGCCTAAAACCTGGCAGAATGCATGAGTCCTTTGGCATTGTTTAGCCATGTTGGACTGATTTAGGAGTCATCAAATTGGGAAACTGGGAGGTCTTGCAGATATTTTCCTTTCAACCGATTTATACATCCAGTTGCCAATCAGGGAAGTCCCTGAACGAAAGAACCCCCAAACCGAGTTTACTATGCAGGGGGCAACAAGAGCACTAACTCCAAATGCTTTCCACCCCCCCTGTTTTTGCCAGGCTTGAACAGAGGTTGTTGGTCAAGACAAAGAAAGAGGTCGCAAAAACGCCTCTTCCAAGCCCTGTCCTTCTGAAGGCGTCAGGCGTCATCTCCTGTGCCTTCGGCCAGAGGCTCTGAGCAGCGCGCTGGTGGCGGCAGCCGTGGAGGATAAGTTCGCGCTGCGCACGGCGGTGAGGATGATCTTCTCGCAGACGCCTGGAAGTGGGAAACAGGGAAGGGCCATCCACTTATGCGCATGGGGATGGCTCTCGTTGCTATGGCGGATTTTCGGGAGTTGTCCAGAGCCGGTCGCGCAAAAGTTCCATGGAAGCGGGTGTCCCCCAGAAAGCAGAGTTGTGTGTACACACTTCTTCCTGGTGGCTGGGGATTCTGCCATGTATGGAAAACTTTTGAGACCGTAGCTGCAACCATTGAACTCTTTTCGGGCAGACTGAACAACCCCAAGAAGTTGGCTCTAAAAAAGCATTGGTTTGTTGGATTCCACAGGTGGTACCTTCAGACTTGTTTGTTCGAGATGGAGATGTTACCCATTTAACCAGCTTGCCCCTTTGTGTTCCTAGCACAATCCAAGGGTTGCCTTTGGGATCAACTACCCTGCCATATTCTTGGCAGCAACCATCAGCTGATGGAAAGCACTTGGTCTTTGGTTGCGGTGAAATGTGAGAAAAAACACGGTCAAAGGGAGGTCACCAGTGAACATGGTCCATGGTTGAAAACGGGTTCCTTCAAACTGTGACGCCTGAATGAAGTTTTCCTGGCGGAGAGTCCCTTCTTTGGGGAAAATACCTTCTTGTTTTTTTGGGGGGAAGGGTGGTCCTTCTTTTGACTTCGGCCATTCCTTGCTTTCCTTTCGACTCCCTCTATGCAAAAGGGACTGCTCGGGGAGCCTTTTGAGTGCGGTTCGGGGAGCTGGACGAACATTTTGCCCGCGAAGCTAAAATTTGAGAGCCAGAGACTTTGGATGGCTACTAGGTCCCCCAGCTAGGTGCCAACTTTTACCGTTTCTGTTTTTGGGGAGGGTTCAAACCTACTAAAATAGACCACAGACAAAGTTGGTACCAACTTATTCTAACCTCTCTACTGGAGGACTTAGGTTATGCTGCCCTCCCGGTGCCCTAGCTGCCGATTTTTTTCAAACATGGAAGATGACGGGGGGGGACCCTGGAGGCATCCAGGCTTCACAAGGCCCCCCCTCCCTGGTCTTTGTGGCCCCCAGCCCTTAGCTTTTTAGGCCTTTAGGGTTAGTCGCAGTTTCCATCTAACCCACGAAAAGTTAAACTTTAGCAGAGGATCTGAGGACAGCCCGGTGGTGTTACATCTAGCTTTTGCCTTGCCAAAGAGCGATCTCCTCGCTGGTTGTTGAAGGTGCGAAGTCCGCAGTCCAAACTTTGACCTGAAGCAGTTGTTCCTTAAATTCGGCCAAAGGACTGGCCTTTTGGAGCAAAGGAAGTCGTGCGTGGAGTCGTTGCTGGTTCTCCGGTTCCTTTGGTTTTCGTGGTTGGGTGTCCGAATTTTAACCCACCAAAAGTTAGTCACTCTTAGCAGGGGATCTGAGGACAGCCCAGTTCCCATACCAGAGTCTGCAGAAATCGCATCGACACCTTGAGGCGTTGGACAACTTGTCGTTTTCCCATGAGCCGCCGTAAAAGCTGCATGCTTTTTCGCTGGGCACCCCTTTTTGTGAGAGAAAAGCCCGGTCGTGGTGGAATTTTGGGTTTTGATTCGGAGGGGACTCCCCCAAAGGTGGGATTTGCATGGGTTTTTGTCCGGATGCTCTCAGAGATCCTTCTAGAAATCCTCCAGAAACTAAGGGAAAACGGTCTCGAAAGAACGATGGCTGAAAGGAATGGACAAGGCATCATCCCCTTGAAAATTCAAAAGAACCCTGCATAACTCCCTGAATAACCTTCCCACCCTGCCCACACCCCTGAATAACCCCCTGAAGGGAATCATCCCCCTGAATAACCCCGCCCCCCTGCCCACGCCCCCCCCCCAGGACTCGGTTCCTCGTATCAGGAAGCCGCGGGACAAAAGAGCCCTACCGCGGGTCCTGGCGGCGTGTCGGGAGCAGAATCTGCTGCGGGAGCTGCAAAAACGGAGCCGCCGCGCCAGGAGACTGCGGAGCTTGCAGGGTCTGCCTCAATTTGCTTCGGTTTTGGTTGTGGATGATTTGCTGTCGTCGCATTGGCACGACTTTGGCGGAGAAGGAGTCTTTCGCGGTTACGCGCAGAGATGGTTTCCAGCCAGTGTCACTGCCCCCTCAAAGTGGGGTTTGCCTTTGCTTTTCTGGTCCCGCCAAAACGGCTTCGGTGTTCCTTTTTTGGTTCCCCTTTACAACCACAGAAAATTGTGTACCCTCATAACAAGGCGACACACCCAATTAGGTTTTAGACCCAATATATCTGTGATACCGTGATCAGTTTGCTTAGACAACAAATGTCGTCGATTTGTTCGGAAGCAACTGGCGCATGGAACCCAACATTGCCATGAAACCTGATGGAAAGTCCCTCTACAACCGGGAATTGCCAGAAACTGCGGAACAGTCTCAGCTCCTGCCCTGGTGTGTGAAAAAAAGGACAACCCTCTGACTGATTTGGCTGTGGGTCAAGAACAATGGTACCATTTTGGGGGAGGTGAATTCACCATCCATTTTGGTCTACTTTGTGGGGATTGGGATGTTCACTGGGGGTACGATTTGGATGTTGACCCATGGCCATTTTGGTGTCTGAATGGAAGGAGCAGTGGCATGAGCCGCATCTTGACCTCGCTCTTCATCGAGCTGCGGAACACGAACGTCGCAGATGAGGCGGGGGAGGCGTGGGTTGGTGCGCGGGAGGTTGGGACAGAAGGAGGAGATTTGCGCTTGATCCATTGAACTGAGCATTTTAGGGTGGTGTTCAATTCAGTGACTGAACATTCGCTTGGAAGCTTCCTTCATAAGATGTTAGTTCGCGGACAGTGAGTCTTGGAGCAAATCAGCAAAAGACATCGCGACAGGCTGCATTGCGGGCATCGTGCTTCAGTTGATTGGGCAGCAAGCGTGAAGTCGCAAATTGTGAAACAACTTGCCACACGTTTTGAAGGAAGTCGCAAATTGCGTCCAGATATGTTCCGTCACCAATTCCCACTCTGCAACTCAGGCCCTTTGGAATGAAGTAGCTTTCTGCTTTTCTTTTGAACAGTCTCCAGCGGTGATTTTTTAGTTGGTGCCGTATCTGTGAATCCAAGGCCCGAACCAGCTCGGAATGGCCAACATGGTGCCCCTTCAACATACCGTATGCAGTACGTTACGCAAAGCCAGATACAATCACAGGAACCCATTTGATGAACGGATTGGTTCATTTCCCTAGTTCGGAGGTGCATCCTGGATCACTTTGGGGTGGTTGCACCATGTTGCACCGCTGATGTCTAGATCCGCAAACGTTATGAATCCACAGTTGACATGAATGAACTAATAGAAGACTACAACTTGAGGTATGCATCACTAGGTAGGGACCCGCCCAAAATGGTGGTTGCCCTTTTAGTTTTCCTGTAAAACCACCAAAGAAGGGGCAGCAAGGGGTAGTAACTCCAAAAACAAGCACGCACCCAGATCTTTTTGCCGGACGCCGGCTCGTCACCGGCTCGTCACGGGCTCGTCACGGGCTCGTCAGGTGCCGGTGGCGGAGCTGGTAGCGGCGGCAATGCCGGATCTGGTGCTCACCATGGAGGTGCTCTACACGCGCACTTGCTGCGAAGCCTGCCAGCTCCTCGGATGCATGCGCCGTGGCTGGCGTGGCCTGAGGCGGCATTTCTTACCGGGTCGTTGGATGCGGGACGTGCCTGTTTTAGCTTCTTGACCCCATAGAAAGTCGACCCCCTGTGTATGAATGGGGTGTCCCTGGGTGAAATGTGGGGAATGTATTCGGGGGTGCTTTTTGTTGGGTGAAATGTGGGGCCCATAACTTCCATTTGCTGAAAGGAAGATGTATTTTTTCATGTCCCTTGGTGGTGTTAAAGGGAATCGATTTCACTGGACATCTTTTTCTTCTTTCCCGGGACTTAGTAGGGGGGCGTTCCTGGGTGAAATGTGGGGGAATCATCACCTTTGGAGGGAACACGCCCCCGTATTGATGGACTGGGGTTGATGAACACGGGGACAACATTAGGTTAGTTTGTTTAGGCGTACAAAGGTTCCGCTGGTGTAGAATGGTTTTGTGCCCCATTTACCAGGAGAACCCATCTACTTTTCCAATGTCACATCCCGCGCTGGCCGTTGCCCTCTTCCCAATGTGGGTAGCGTTTCTGGAAGACTACCGGTACTTCCACTAGGGTTGGGGGTTCCCACGTGGGAATTTGGGGTCGCGAAAAGAAATAATATGTGAGCCTTTCGCATTGAAGGCTGAGCTAGTTATTGAGAAACCTTCAAGTGGTATCATTATTTGCAGCGGTGGGCAGATCTTGTTTTTACTGCGGCTATAGGGAGTCCACATTCTCCATAGGTTGATAAAGCCGAAAGTCGAGCTTAAAGGGCTTGCCTCTTCGTGTTGGCAAGCTTCCGAAATTCACCGGAGATGTATATGAGCAGGTACATTTGGAAGTGCCGCACTTTGGAGCCCAATAACAGAATTTCTGGAGGTACGGTCATGGCTAGCTATGGAAATCAGCACTGCCTCTCACAGAGGGCGTGCGCTGCAGCTTTAGGTTGTCAATATGGGGGGGCTAAACAATCACTTGGGTCACGACATGTGGGTTTTGCTACCCTTTGAGGATGCTGTTTGGGTCAAAAGGTCAACATAGGGGGATTCCCATTGTAGGTTGCCCAACACGCCGTTCCGATGAGGTCACACTTCCGGGAGCTGTGGCCGGCCTCGCTGCCGAAAAGCAAGTACTTCGGAGAGCTGGCCTGGGCCATTGTGGGGCACCAGCAGAACCAAGGCGGGAGTCGGTGTCATGGGGGGGAACGGGAGGGGAGGGGGAGGAGGGGAGGGAGGGAGGGAGGAGGGAGGAGGAGGAGGGAGGGGGAGGGAGGGGAGGGAGGGAGGGAGGGAGGAGGGAGGGAGGGGAGGGAGGGAGGGAGGGGAGGGGAGGGAGGGAGGGAGGGAGGGAGGGGAGGGAGGGGAGGGAGGGAGGGGAGGGAGGGGAGGAGGGGAGGGAGGGGAGGGAGGGGGAGGGAGGAGGGAGGGAGGGAGGGAGGAGAGAGGAGGAGAGGGGAGGGAGGGGGAGGGAGGGGAGGGAGGGAGGGAGGGAGGGAGGGAGGGAGGGAGGGAGGGGAGGGAGGAGGGGGAGGGAGGGGAGGGAGGGGAGGGAGGGGAGGGAGGGGAGGGAGGGGTTGGGAGGGGAGGGAGGGGAGGGAGGAGAGGGGGAGGGAGCCCAGAAAGGTTCAAAAGTGGCGATCGTTTCAATTCAGTGGACAGCTGCATTGATCAACCTTTAAGGTGGGGAAATCCAGTGATTTTTGACTTGGAGGTGGACGTCGCTTTTGTAGAAGCGGGCTTGCAGAACGTTTGGGCAGGGTGCCGAAATCAAACTTTGGGCCAACTCCTTGTTTCAACATGTGGGCGTGTCTTTCGGGTTGATTTGGTGGTTCCCCGTTTGGTGGGTCCCTTGGCGTGGGTTAAGAACAAACACATGACACGCAGATCTGGTTGCTTTTTCTTGTTTAGGTGTATGGCGCCCCGTTTATATAGAGATGAATTACAGGGACAACTGAACTCCCCCACCAGAGCACCAAATCAGAGCAACGGACCATGTTGTTGGTGCTTGGTTTTGGGGAGGAGGATCAACTCACATGTACCACGCAAAGCGGGACAGGCTGGCTTTCAGGCTGGGCCCCAATTTTCCCATGTCCTTTAGGGGAAAAGACGGGGACAGATCAGTGAGGGTCGGCAAAGCACATCCTGTTAACTCCCGTCCACTACCATGGAACCTGACTGAGGGGTCCTGGAAGACTATCTTCCCTTTGAAGACACGCTCCGTGCATTCCATGTAACTGGACAGGAGGGTATGCAAGTTTGCCACACTCGCATTGTCCTATCGCCTGAGTAATGCTGACCATGGAATCCACCTCACGGATTGGGGGACGTTTCCCCTAGTGTGATTCGGATCCCCTCTAAAGTGGGCACTGATGAAAATCAGAGGTTCAGGATCTATTTGGGTTTGGCTCAAAATAAGGGACCCCCCAAAATGGGTGGGTTTCCCTTTTGGTTTTCCTTTCTCACCAAACGAGGGTACCCCCCCTCAACAGTGAATCCCCGAAGAGTCTGGACACCGCGCAGCTCGGGGAGGCTAAAAACAAATCCACTGGGTTCTCCGCAATAAACGACTATGTTCTAGGGTTGACTGAGTATGCACCATATTCCAGCACCCAACAACCACTTGTTGGACAGTATGGGGGGAGTGCAGGGGCAGAATTTTGGACATTGAACAGGCAGTGACCCGGGTGCTGGGTATCATATGTGTCCTTTTTACGTTAGTTTGGTCAAAAAAAGAAGGCACTGGTTTCGGTGGCTTTGATTCCATTTCCCAAGCCCACCTATTTTTCCAGAAGGGCCCGCTATGACCAGCTCATGTCATACCGAGAAGGCCACGCTTCGCTCGTGTTTTGCGGGTCCGTCCGGGGCTCGCGTCAGGCCGCCAGCGGGCCTTCGCCCTGTGCCGGGACTGGGTGCTGCTGCTCCGCTGGGCTGCGCGCTTGGGCGGCCAGGAGGAGCGAAGGACACGCGGTGGCTGGCTGGAAACGCGGGGAAAGGGCCAAGAGGTGGTGCCCAGACCCTTGGGCCGTTTTTTGAATTCTCTGGGTTTGTGTTGTCCTTTTTTTTAAAAGCCATGGTTGGAGTTGTCTGTTGTTTTTCTTTTTGGTGTTGGAGGATCTTCTTGATTGTGTTGTAGGAGGTGCTTGTTCTTTTTCCCCCGAAAGCATCACGACGGGGTGTTCCGCTAGAGTCTCTTGCACTGGCCTGCATAAAGGACTTGCCCACAGAACTTGATCAAAATAGTTTACTCAGAACCTCTTGCCGAGAGAAACGCTGCTCAGAGAAGCGTTGAGAACTTGCCCACAGATGACTTGCCCAGATGACTTGCTCAGAGAACTTGCTCAGAGAAGCTTGCTCGGAAAATCTTGCCCCGAGAATCTTGCCCAGAGAATCATTGCTCAGAGACACTTGCCCAGAGGAGCTTTGCTCGCAGAACCTTGCTGCTCAGAGAAGCGTTGCTCCGAGAAGCTCCTCAGAGAAGCTTGCTCAGAGAAGCTTGCTCAGAGCAGTGTGATTGCAGAAATGAGTTTCCAATTGCAATGCATTGAAATTAAAGCTTTTCAGTCGGTGGGCGGGAACGCACAGATCGTACGCAACCCTCTGCACTCTGCATGGATCGGGCTTGCACAAAACTGTTTTTTCTGCTTGTTTCGTGCACTGCGCAACTCGTGGATTCGGCGGGCTTTTTTCCGTAGCAATGTGCCGAAAGCTGGCCTCGTGGGTTTAGGCGCGCTCTGGGGCTCGAGTCCTCTCTAGTCGCCCTGGTAGCCCTGCAAAACTAAAGTCCCCTTGTCGCAGAAAACGGGCTTTAGCCGTGCCCCTCTTGGACAGGCAAGTGCCGGATAAGAGCTCGAGGGACAGGAACCCTCCTGCTGTGGCTTAACAGACCTTTCCGTTTATTCACACCACTTGCCACTCCTTGCTGTGCTTTTTCTACTGAAGGTTTCTTCTGCTTCCCGCCCGCCCACCCAGCATCCCGCCAGAGCAGCTCGCCAGTGGATCCCGCCGAGTATCCCGCCAGAGCTGCTGGCCAGTGGATCCGCGCCAGAGCCCGCCGAGTATCCCGCCAGAGTAGTTCGCCAGTGGATCCCGCCGAGTATCCCACCAAAACAGCCCGCCAGTAACAATCCCGCCGAGTATCCCGCTGAGTATCCCAGAGTGGATCCCGACGAGTATCCTGCCAGAGTAGCTCGCCAGTGGATCCCGCCGAGTATCCCACCAGAGCAGCACGCCAGTGGATCCCGCCGAGTATCCCTCTGAGTATCCCAGAGCAGCTCGCCAGTGGATCCCGCCGAGTATCCCACGAGTATCCCTTGCCGGTGGATCCTGCCGAGTATCCGGCCAGTGTTGAGCCGGAGCGGCTTAAACAGTATTCGCCAGTGTCCCGCCAAAGCAGCTTGCAAGTCTGGTTTTGCTTAATGTCCCGCCCGGCGCACAGTTGGGTTGAATGTCATGTTGGTGCCTTCGTGTTTTGAGTGTACCCTGAGGCTCGGAAAGGGTGATGCTTGTGTATTGCTTTGGGTTGTGAATAAGCAACTTCGTTTAATCCCCTGTCGAGTTTTTTGTTAACGGAACCGATGTTTGAGTTCTCGAGATCGGCTCGCAGACAAGTGGAGTTTGACACACAGACAGGTGGATAAGGCTCTCAATGCAAAGCTTGTTGAGCAGTCATAGGCCCCAAGCCACTCGAAAACCATGCTTGCATTCACACACCCGTGTTCACCGTCGTAAGCTCGTGAGTGTGGAGGGTGGGGATTGCCCGAAGCGAAGTAATTTTTACACGCGCTGCTCACTGGCATGGATGTTGATGTTTTGTGAGGTCAAAACAAAAGGCGGGGCCCAAAAGAGCGGTAGGGTCGGAGACGTACACGAAAAAGCAATGGTTTTCCATGTTCAAGGGTTGTGTGGCTCATTTGTAAGCGTTTTTATTATCGGACAAAACCTTCGGACATTCCAAGTTGTGGCTTTCAATTTTCAAGGGCGGGGTGGCTCATTTGCAAGTCGTACTCGAGTGTGTAAATCTGCTCGTGGCGTGTGGGAAACAGCCGCCAGATGTTGAAGTCCTTATGAACTCCAATCAGTGGTAGTGTAACAACAATGAGTATGATGGCTATGGAGGGTGCTGTGACATGTCAATTAAACGAGATCATTGAGATCATGTCAATGTGTTACTGTCCACCAGTGACTATTTTGCGCCACGTTAACTTGGCCAGCAGAAAGTGAGAACCTAAAACTGGGTTCAGCAAGTGGTGGCAACCCGTGCTTGAAACGGCGACATCATCTTAGCGCCACGGCTCGTGGGTGATCCCAGCGCGCCAATGAAACACACATGATCACGAGCTCGCGCGGAAGGGATCACGCGAGTGAATCATGCCATTGTTCTTGAATAGAAACCTCGTGATTGCCAGTCGAATTTATCCGCCCTGAGGGTATGGAATGCTTGAAGGGCCTGTTTGTTCTTGCATCGGACGTGAGCGCTCGGAGCTTTCCACAGCGAAGAAACATCCCAGCGAGCGACGGCTCAAGTCGAATGATGTTGTCTGAACGAATGCGGTGGTTTGATCCTATCTCCAGTTAAAACGGCTGATCTGTTCGGTGCAGGTTTCCTTGAACAGGAGGCAGATGTTTTGTTTAAGCGTTCTGCAAATGCCGAGCGTGCGCAGCTGGTCGAAAAGAGCGAAAAGACGTTTCATTCAAGTGTGCATCTTGTTTGACAGTCCTCGCTCGTCACTTCTTGACTATTTTTGGCGGGATTTGGCACGCGGTTTCAGCCAGACTTCCGGTTTGTGAAGTGTTGTTATGAGCTTGATCATTGCTAGGGCTTACCAGATTCCCCCCACCCCCCCACCGCCCCCAACAAACATGAAGTCTTTCAATGTCTTGATTGCTCATTGCTTTGACCGAAAACAGCTTTTTCACCTAGACTTCAGTGGCGTCCGTTTTTTGGGGGGACACGCTTTCCCTGGAATACCAAGTACCAACAAAGAAAGGTGGCTTTTCCTCCCATGGCCGCTGGAGGTTTGCGTTAACCTTGGAAAATGATGAACTCCCCACACGCCAATCTGGTTTCAATTCGGGGACACAGAGAATGTCGACCCCATATTAATCAACCCCAGCTTATCAACACGGGCATGTTCCCCTCCAAAAGTGGGGTTATTATTATGGGACGCCCCCCCCAACTAACAAACTGGGGTTGATGAATATGGCTGTGATGGTACCATTCTGGGGTGGTGAATTCACCACCCATTCTAGTGGTCGGATTGGGATGTTCACTGGGGGTGCGATTTGGATTTTGCCCCATGCCCATATGGGTTGAACATGGCTGTGGGGGGTTCTGAGGGAAGGCCGAAGACATATGGGGCCATATGGGGTCATCATTGAATGGAGGTCCCTTCCATTAGGTCCCCGAGTCCCAAGAAACAAGTTTCGGAGCCAAGGCGGACGCTGGACGTGCGAGCACTCTCACAGAAATCCTGGAGGCGAGGTCTGAAAATCCGCAGGGGGATACGTGGGTATGTTGAATCTTTTAAGGGGGCCCTCCAAACGGGTGGTGTTTCTTTCTTGTTCTTTTCTGAAAACCACAAACACGGGGGGGTTATTAATTCAAAAGAAGATACCCATTTGAACCATCGTTTGGCTTCATCACGTTTCAGCAGGTTGGCTCAACCCTGGCAAGGGGTGAAAGTTCCTCAGCTGCGGGTATTGGTCGCAGGCCTTGAGAACTCTTCAACGCTTTCTTGTATAGTGAGTAACAATCAGTTGTGGGACCTGAATAGAGCAGATAGCAAACAATTAGTGAGGCGGGGTATTGTTGAGGTTTGTGCTAACTCTCCTTTTTGGTGTCAATATGCAAACGGACTGTTACTCACTATACGAGATGCGCCCAACTAGTCCAAGAGTCCAACTTGCTTGCTCCACGTTTGGAGTGCTTGAACGCCGAGACGCCATAATGAAAGCCGGCCCTGCCGGTTTTCCACGACTGCCTCAGATGGCAAACCCTGTCTGTGGAAAAGTGTTGGCGTTTCTGCAAAAGCGGTGCCAGACAACTCGGGCTTTTCCATTGGAATCTTACTGGAAAGCAAAGCATCCCCCTAGGGTTCAACCCCATCAAAAGAATGGTTGACCCAATATGGACGATTCAGTAAACAATAGTGGTTATACGAACCACTTTGCCTTTATCCCAGTTTCCCCAGTGGCGCCCTTTCTTCCTTTATCTTGGAAGTTGTCCTTCAAACTCACCCAACCAAAAAAGGATACGATTCCCTTTTTTCCCCACGGAAATCCACTGGGCCTCTGAGTCATCGTGGTTTCCCCCCCCCCCCCCCGGATCCACTTTGGGCGTGGTTCTTCCGCCTTCACATCGGTCCGACCCGATGCGACCCGATGCGATTCGATCGAGGATCTGGCGCTGCCCCGGCAGTCCAAGGAGCAGCTGCGCGGCTTCCTGGCGCCGCTTGGCCCCGCGCCGAAGGGACTTCCTCGCAACCACGCGGAGCACGCGGATGCGCCGAGCAGGCCGAGAGTTCAGGTGGTGTTCAGTTGGTTGGGCTTCCGTTTAACCCACAAGTTAGTCACTTTTAGCAAGGGTTCGGGGACTTATCCAAATTTGGTCTGTCTTGTTTTGAGTCGGTCGGTGGTTTGGATTGCTGGTTTGGGGTGTTGAAGCCCTGCTTCTAGAGGGTAAATCCCATGTGCCGTTTCCCAGCACCCAGGTCCATAGCAACCACTGCTTTTTGGTTGCCACAAAAGATGTGAATGGCGCCCTTTGTTTTCCCATGGCCACTGGCGGCTTGGGAATGGTGATTGGGAACCGTGGGAACTGAAACCCGAACCTCCCCCTTGGACTCTGAAATCGAGCCTTCCCACAGACGGCACCTCTGGGAAACCTCCTGGAAGAACAATTTCCTCTTGCAGGATGGTAAGGTGCTATGCTAGCGGTAGGCCATCCGAGTCATATATGTTTGTTTTCATGCTTTCTCTTGAACCTGCTTGGATGACTTTGACAATGGTCAAACCATGGGGCCAGAACCTGCATGGCCCCCAAGGTCCTTTTAGGCATGACTGCCTTTCCGCTTGGTGTGGTGGCTGCGTGGTCATTGTCAAAGGTTTGGAATTTTCTTGCAACACGGTTTTGGTTTAAGCCGTGCCGGACCATCCGACAGCGGCCGTCCTGTACGTGCTTGTGCCAGAAATCACATAGGATGCCCCCCCCCCTTCCTAGCCAGGCACTCCGGTTAGTTCAGGTGTGATTCCTGCTGTACGGCTCTCTTGATCATCCAGGGACTGTGAAGGTCCTGTTTTGGAAGTGATCGCTTCTGTCTAGTCTTGCCGGGCGTTTACTTGATATCTTGTTGGGGGTTGTGTATGTTTTGCTTATTGTTCTTCAAACAAAACAGTACTGATCATTATAATTCTTTGGTTTTGAGTCTTCTCAGATTGGGTACTTGGTGGCCAAATCATGCACCTGCACTAGGTAATCCTTGAGCCCTTCCGGCCTCCTTGGGCGCTTGTTTGTACATGTGGCATTGCTCTGGGGTCCAAGTCCTCTCAAAATGGGCTGCCCTGAAAACTTGGTGGCGCCTCGCACGGTTGTTTCCCAAGAGGACGCCTTGATGTTGTTGGAAGGGTTGCTCCATGTTGGGCAACACCCAAGCTCATCCCTGACTCAACTCTGAGATCCTCGGTGAAGTGTCCAGCTTGAAGGTCGTCTTCAATACGCTCCCGTCGATGTGGAACCTTACAGGGTCCTGGCACAGTCTTCCTTTAACAACCTGAACAGAGATAGTGGGATCTACACAATCACGGGGGCTGGGGAGGGAGGGGAGGGGGAGATAGCCCAAAAAACACCTTATTAAGCCTTTTTGTTTGCCTTATGTAGGGCTTATTTGGGCTCCCTCCCCCTCCCCTCGCTCTCTCCAGCCCCCATGACACAATTACCCACGACAAAATGCCCCTCCATGGCAAGAACAGGAAGGTCCTTATCCCTGCCGAAGGCCCCAGTCGTCATCTCGTGGCTAATTTCTTCTCCATGTAGCAGCAGGTCGTCACGGGTTTCATGTTAAAAAAGTGGACCGAGGGTATTTCCTTACCCTCCCTTCCACTAACATGGCACTTCCTGGAAGATTGGTTTCCTCTTCAAGGGACCCCATGTCTGGTGCTATGTTAGTTGGAGGGGGGGTACCCTTTAGCAGAAGGCCCCAGTCGTCATCTCGTCGCCGGACCAATTTTTCGAGTCGTCCAGGCACCCGCCCTTCCGCATCGAGGAGTTTTGCTTCGTGGACCGTGCAGAGGGCCTGGCCGAGCTGAGGCCTCCACTTTTGGACTGCCGGGCAGGCTGAAACCCAGGGGTGGTTGATTAACGAATCCTACTGCTCTAATTATGTGGTGGTGTCTTTTTTCGGGGACACCCCAAAATGGTGGGTTTTCCTTCCAGTTTCCCTTCAAACACAATCAAACAAAGGGTGCCCCCAAAAAAAACGAGCCACTCATATGGGTGTGGCGTTAAAGGGATGCACAGCTTTCATCGCGTTGACCCCATGAGAGGGTCCCCACAACACAAGTTAACCCCTGCAAAAGCTCCAAGCCGTTGCTTTCAGGGTTCCAATTTTTGACTCCCCCAAGGTAGAAAACAGCCAAGGGGGTCCTTTCAGTTTTTCCTGTTTGACAATTACCCTTGGCATTTTTTTTGTGTTTCTCCCCAGGAAGTTATAGACCCACCGCCTGTGGAAAGCATCGCTTTGGGCTTGTTCACATATTTTTCACCCTGGCAGAACCTCGAGCCGAACTTCACAGCCGACGATTCGCGAGCAAAAGCACAGAAGAACACACAAACAAACAAACAAACAAGCAAACTAACTAACTAACAAACACACAAACAAACAAACAAACAAACAAACAAACAAACAAACAAACAAACAAACAAACAAACAAACAAACAAACAAGCAAACAAACAAACAAACAAACAAACAAGCAAGCAAGCAAGCAAGCAAACAAACAAACAAACAAACAAACAAACAAACAAACAAGCAAGCAAGCAAGCAAGCAAGCAAGCAAACAAACAAACAAACAAACAAACAATCAAACAAACAAACCAACAAACAAACAAACAAACAAACAAACAAACAAACAAACAAACAAACAAACAAACAAACAAACAAACACACAAACAAACAAACAAACAAACAAACAAACAAACTAACAAACTAACAAACTAACAAACTAACAAACAAACAAACAAACAAACAAACAAACAAACTAACTAACTAACTAACCAACGAACAAGCAAACAAACCGACCAGCAAACAAACAACCAAACTATCAAACTAACTAACTAACTAACTAACTAACTAACTAACTAACTAACTAACTAACTAACAAGCAAACAAACAAACAAACAAACTAGCTAACAACGCCTTCTGAGCCTTGCAACAGGAGGCGCGACTCAGCCCCAGCATGATGCTGGCCCTGGACACGGAGTGGGGGGATTGCTCGCAGCAGTCTCCGCCTTCAGCGTCTCGGCCGTGTCAAAGCGGGCGGGTTGAAAGCATTGCATTCATTCTACGGATTGATTCCCCATTCTTTTCAACCATCGTTCTTTTCAAAAACTTCATGGGATTCTGGAGGTTTCCTAGAAAGAAGGATCCCTGGAAAGAATGGAAATGGAAGGTACCCTAGATTTATAGGTGTTCTCTTATGAAGGGGTGCGCGCCTTCATGAGCCTGTGCGCAAAGAGTGCACTGATTCCAATGGTGGGCTTAGAGTTCCAAGCATAGCTTTTTGATTGGTTTTGATCAGAAATGGATGGGCAAGCCACTGGTTAGATTGGTTTGATGCCCCATTCACCAGGGAAACCCATCTATTTTCGACCAAAAAGAAGCCAACCGCGAGGGCGAGGAGGCGGATCAATATGGGAACTGTTTAAATCAGGAGAGGTCCATTCAACCTCCTCCAGTCAGATTTTTTTGGTCAAGCCCAAGTCTTTTGCGGGGCATCCACTTTTCTATCCTTCCCTGGTAGGAGTTTTGAATGGATCTCCAGGAGAGATGGCGCTGTTGCCCTTGCCTTAAAATTCCTCTCCACATGCTATTCAACGAGAAGTGGTGATAGTGGAGTGCGGAAAACCCTTACAAGCAAACTTGGGGTGTTACATTGTTTCCTGCAAAGCAACGTGCCCTCGACCAAAGGGACTTTGGCGTTTTGGATGCCTGACTGCCCTGCACGTGGAGGGCTTCACTCAAAATTGCTTCTTGCTTCTTGTTGTTCTTGCTGGTGCTCAGCAGGGAATGAGGGAATGACCCATTATAAACCATCCAACTGGTGATTCCTTTAAGGGAATCCCTGGGTTCATTCCCACATTCCCTACTGAGCATCTGCAAGTTGTTTTTCTTCCCCCAGCTTTTGCTTGCAATCCCGACGTCTTTTCCCTTGGCAAGGTGATCCAAGTGGCGATCCCCGGAGCCGCCTGGGTCCTGGATGTTCTGAAGCTTGCGGAAGCGGACTTGAGAGAGTTGCTGCACTGGGTGCTTGATCAGGAGGCACCTCGAGCTTTTGCACGGCGGGCCGCCTTTTTTTTGTTTTTCTTTTTTAATTTGGGGGGGGGGGGGTCGCGTTTGTTTTGAGTGCTTGCGTGGTTTGTTTGTGTGGTTGTTTAGGTCTGTGTTCCTTGGTGTTTTGTTTGTTACGTGTCCCAAAAAATACCACTCGGATCCCTGGCAAGCAACGAATTGGTACTCAACACGGGACGTGGAAGGCGGAAGGCCATCGGCCATCCTGAGCCAACTCCGCTTGGAGTCCCGCACCAATCTCTTTTCGGGTTTCATGTATGTCGGGGAAGGCACCTTCTGGGTTTCCCGCTTTGGCCCATTTTCAGCGGTCCCAAGATGCGATCACCTTACATTTCCGGGTCAGGCGACACAGAGGGACTCCGAAAGTAGGCAATAAAAAGGGTTCTTCCTTGGCGGTTCCCAGCCATCCGGTTCGTTAAGTTTTAGTTGTTTTGAGTTGATTCAGTGGAGGTTTCCATTTAACCCACAGGCAAACCCACTTTCAGCAGATCGGAGACAGTGCACTTTCCAACGGGATCCATGGACACCCAAGAGGAATCGTTTCCACTAAACCACTACAACTCAGACTTTTCACAGAACTTCTGGGAACAAGTGACATTTCAGAGAGGAATTCAACCTCCGAGTCGTTGCTGTCCGGTATTTTAGGGTGTGGTAGCTTCCACTAAACCACGAACAGTTAGACCAGCAGGGGATCTGGGAACAGCCAAGGTTTTCCCGGTAGGTCCAATTGCTCGGCTTCCACTTCGCCTCCGATTTGCCTCGCCTCCAACTTCTGGTGCCACACACTCGCTGGGCCCAGGCGGACGGGGGGCTTGGGCGGCTGGATGTCAGGGTGCGCAAGTTGGGTCGATTTCTTTGGAGGGGGTCAACAAATTTGGTTGGTTTTAGATTGCAACCGAAAGAAATCACCTTAAGTGGAGGTCCCCCGAAATTTTGAGACACCCCCTGTTGTGTTTTTGTTGTTGCTTAAGGGACACCAGAGCAAAAACCGATGCCATTTTGGGGTCCCCTTCACAAAAAAGACACGACCATGTCTTGCTCAGGAATCTGGGGCATCACGAAACCACAAGGGATGGTTCGGGGCTACTCATTCCAAAAGGAGAGAACCAGGAAGTTTGAACTTCCCTCACTTCCCCCCGCAAACCCTGAGCAGGGGATGCAAACATCATCAAGGGCCTCTGTAGGCTTCCTCAGCTGCTTTCAGGTTCGAATAGTGGCACCTGTGTTTTCCCTGCCAGCAGCCCCCAGGCATCTTTTCCTATGCCCCGCCGTGCGCAGCGCACAAGTGCACATCAAAAGCATCCCCGGCGTCCCCGAAAAACCAGTCCACAACTGCTACAAACATGGTATCTGCGATGCTATTCCCACCTAATGGCGACTGCGCCGC